TGGATACTTATGCAAGTCTTTTTAATTCTAATATTTTATGATACATTTAGCTTCAACGCATTCATTTTCCTTTTCTTTTATTGTTAATAATAATAATAATGAATCTGACCAAAAAATGGTTTATGCACACGTTTACAATTGCCATAAATTAAGGAAGCAACAACATCGATATTCAAATCGAGAGTTGCCACAGAACTGTTGATGGGAAAGGTTATCCGTTTGAGTAACATCGGATTGAAAAGAATTCCTTGCGTTCAGGTTCATTTAGCTGTTCACACATTGCTATTGTTTTATGAGGAGATTTGACAACATGATAAAACGTTATCGATGATGTGTCACTGGCATTAGCTTCGTGTGCAGTGGCGATAATCAGAGCGAACTATGGTGTTAGATTACGTTTGGGCTTAGGTTTACGCTGAGGCTCATATCGTAGAAGCACCTGTTTGTTTGGTGGATAGATCAGTCCCGGAATGAATCACACTAATTTCATTAGAGCGATTTGTTCAGCTGATTCATTTTTGTTGTGATGTTACCCTCTCAGACTTCAACATTCTCATCGTTTAACAAATCCGAGTAAATGAGTTGACAGTTGCCGTATCAGTCTAAGGAAATGAAGTATCAAAAATTTAGGCTTGCAGTTCAAATGCTTATATCGACTTTAATAAATTGCGTTAATATTCATAAAGTTTTCAACATCTATTGTGGCATAAAATTAATATTAATAGATGGCTATTCAAATAGATCTGTTCGCTTTTCAATCTACGCATGAGACAGCTCCGTTTAGAGTTGATAGTTCGTGGACATTTCATTTAATTTGATTCATGGAGAAGTTCCTTCATAATGAATGCATCCGTCTGAAGTAAATGAATGTATGTATCAGGTTCGATGTAGGAGAAATGAATTCAACGTATATCTGAAGAAATATTTTGCGAGACCGTTCGACTATTGGGCACTTGATGCCGACTCGAAAACGAGTTCGTGGTTCTGTTACTTGAATTTGTGTATTTTTTAAATCATTTCCTTTATTTGTTCGTTTGATATTTCCCTTATGAAATGAATGTTCCGCTGATAGTCATTCATAATGGAATTGTTGATATATGATGGTTCTCAAATGCTTCATCCGATCTATCTTCACGAAACCTGATTTCCATACACAGTGATATCCGGCTGTGGGTATCTTTCATTTGAGCGATTGCTTTCTAATTTCGGAGATTGTACCACTCAACTTCAGTTAATGATGCATTCTGAAATCATGGACTGTGAAAGAATTAAAATCAAGCTGCATTCAGTTCATCAAAAATCAGTGATTTTGATATAAACGTCTCGGAGTGAGACAAATATCCAAAAAAGAAGGGAATGATGAATGTGAATTAAAGATTTGGGTGATGTGGTATTGATTCATCGAATTGATCGAACACAACGTCCAACAACAGTCGTTATGCATCAAGTGGAACGAATTGTTTTCAAGTACGGTAATATCATTGACCCGATTACAAAGAAACGTGTGATTCAAGACGAATTCAGCGATGAAATCGAATTGAAACAACGATTGGTCAGAGAGGTTATTCAAGATCCTTTTCAACAGGTGCTGATTTTCATATCGATTATTTGAATTATTTTTATTCAGCATTTGAGTGATTATTACAGTTCTTATATAATAGTTAACTGTGTCAGAGTTAATTTTCATATATTGAAAGCAAATGTGTTTATGGTCTAAAAGATGATTAGAAACGCTTTTTATGATGTTTTGTTGAAGATTACCACATCTAAACTTTTTATTGCGTCTATCGATGTCCATTTACTGGCCAAGTGTGTTGTGGAACAAGCGTAATGTTGATTTATCATTTAGGATGCATTACTGTTCGAAGAAAGGCGCGCCATCCAGAAGGAACGTCTCACTGCGAGGATGTCAGCCGTCAAGAAATCTCGATGAATATGAACGTGATCTGACTCTAATATTCTCTTCGCCTATTGTACTTCAGTTGATGTATATATTGCGGATTAGTTACGTCTAGATAATTTAGGTAAGTTTTGATGAGTTTCGCTTTGTGCAATAGAAGTTCAGAAGTTGATGGATTTATGATGACGAATGGATTTGGTTTGTATGATGAAACAGTGAAGCCATCGTCTGTCTGTCACAAACTTATTTTTAAAGTGCAGAAATTATTCTCCGTTATTTGTGAGGTTTTTGAGGCACCCAATTCGTCGATGCAAATGAGGTTTGACCTACTCTATCTTAGTCCCAACCTGTCATTAAAATCAAGCCAAAAAACTGGTTGAAGCAGATGAAGGTAAGCCTCAAGTGCATCCGGTAAATTTTACAAGTTGTTGATTGATGTTTTATAACCTATTGAATTGTCTTTGTCGTTGTTGTTATGCTCCATTTTATAAATTGAAACGTTGATTTTCTTTTTGCTCTTTCGATTGTTATGTTATGTGTTATGAGAAGATATATCGATTGATAATAAAGAGTTATGATACGGTACGTGAGTTGATTTTGGATTCATGAATTTCGCGGTATCGAGTTTGATTCTTGTGTTTATTTGATTTTACATTTATCATCTTCGCCATTCGATGGTCATTTTGCACTGAGTTAAGCCTATTTCCGTGCTTATCAATGATGTCTTCATGCATCATGTCATAGTATACTCATGCCATATAACCTTGTATTTTATTGCTGTCAGTACCACATGAAACATTCGCTTTCATGAGAGAATGGAGGATAATGTTGAGAAGGAATATCGACTTCTGGGCGAGTTTGATTGCGTTGATGTAATGTGAGAGCGAGAAGCGTATGAGAATTGATTTGTTGTTGATGAAAGACGTTGCGTTGACAGTAGAGTGAAGAGAATTGCTCGATCTCTGATAATTTACAGAAGGTTAACAATCCGAAGATATATGAAGAGTTAACAACGTGATGATTGTGAAAAGGGGAGAAATGGTTACTTACAATTAGGAGTTGATGGGGAAATTGTAAGAGGTAGAAGAAAGGAGAAGAGTGATATCCGTTGGGGTAGCAAAGGTAGAGGCCGCAACAAGGGAGGAAAGAAAGGAAAAAAGAAGCTCGGTGAGCTTGGGTTGGAGGTATTTGTTTTGTTCTGAAGGCGGAGGTGATGATCATTGACGTGGATGATCTTCGGAACGTGACATGCTTCACTTCATGGTAGTTGATGATTTGGATAAATTGT